AAGCCAAGTATTGAATAGCAAAAGGTTTTTAGAACAGTTGACATTAGTAACATAACCAGTGATAATAACCTTAAGATATTGCAGAATGATGAAAATATTGTAGGCACTGTTGTGACAAAGATTGCATACAATGATGAACGTGACCAGGATGGGGCATTCATTCAAGCCATCTTTTGGGCTTACTATAGCACAATTTCAATGTTCTCAGTAGCAAAAGACGTTTTATTAATTGATGCAACGTATAAAATTAATCAGTTTTCTATGCCCTTAATTGTTATTTGTGCCATTGATCAGTTTGGATCAACATACCCACTAGCCTTTGCACTTGTTTATTCAGAGACTTATGAATTTTATTATTGGGTAATGCGACAATTGAGCCAAACATTAACTAAATTAATAGGTGATGCGCAAGTATCAACCTTCATAACAGATCAAGAATTGGCTTTAATGGCAGCAATTTCTTTAGTATTTCCTCACGCAAGACACCAGTTGTGCATTTGGCATATTTTCAAAAATATTCGGAATAAGTAAGTATGGACAAAATTTAAAATCTAGAAATTTATGGTTATAATTTACTTTTTATAGCTTCGTTAGGTTGTATCTCTTCTTGTTTGATGCTTCGATTATTATTTAGCAGAATAATATTTTTTTTTTTTGCGTTATATTTAATTTTCCTATCAGTTATACTCAAAAAAAAACATAGTAAAAAGTGAAGTGATATAACCCAACGATATATTGTTTACGCACATTGATCCATTTTAGGTTAAAAAAAAATGTTGAAATTGATGAACTCGTGTATGATGATTTTTCAATCAATAAAATAGAGCATGAGATAGAAAAATTGTGGGAGCAATTTCTGAATACAAAAACATATATGCTTGAAACATAGATTCCATACAAAGAAAGTTGGCTTTCACTATATACGAATAGTAATATAAACCTTAAAATCAAATCAAGTCAGCGTGTAGAGAGTCTCTATAGCAAGTTAAAGGGTGTTGAAAATCGAATCATTCTAGTTGACAAAATGTTATCAATCCTTTTGCGACAAATACAAGAGCACTCCCAAAAACTTGAATATTAAACGTTCTTGCATCAAAACAGAAATACATATGATGATACAGATGTGGGCTTGGAAGGACTACGTCAAATATGTTCTTGATTTGTATTCGAGTCATTTGTGAAGCAAGAGGGTGAACTTGTGACCTCAGTTATATATGAAGTGCTTGAACAAGGAGGGGAATATATCATGTGAAACAAATTAATAATCAGAAAAAATTACCATATGTGGTAAATCTTGGATCACCAAGCACTTGCACGTATTTATATCCATGACACACTAGAACTCCATGCTGACATATCATTACAGTATACATACAGTGTTTGCATATTCCTGTTCCATCAAATGAGATTCATGAATGTTGGCAAGTGCGGCATGTCATAGAAGCTGAACATACTAAGGATCAGATGTCACCACTTGTAATGCAAATTTTCGAGAACTTACCGAAATGTCATCATAATAGTTTCTTAGATTTGATGAAGCATACTTCAAAGTATGTTCTTGAAAATGGTAAAATACCGGAATTGTTACAAAATAAGCCAAGTATTGAATAGCAAAAGGTTTTTAGAACAGTTGACATTAGTAACATAACCAGTGATAATAACCTTAAGATGCCAGAATTAAAACGTAGACGTGGTTGCCCTCCTAATAATAGATGCATCCGTGGCAGTGAAGAAAAGAAAAATAAAATGGATTTAAAGAAACAAAAAATAGACAAAAATGACACAATATCGCACTTTGCTGGCATAAGGCCTGATTTACGTATTCTACAAAGTGCTATATTGCAGGTGTATAATCTAATTGGTAACGGTAATTGTGGTTTTAGGTCACTGGCAATAGCAATTTTTAAGAAAGAAGAGCGTTGGCAAGATATCAAAAATACCATGAAATCTTATTTAGTTAAACAAAGAGATTTTTACAACAACGTGCTCAGATATGAAATCAATTGATTAATGGATGTTTTGTCATGTATGGTTTCTGGATGCTCACAGAAATATTAGTTTTACGCACCAGAGTGTACACAGTTAGCATTGGATGCTTTCAATATTCCACTCATATTATTTGGTGCAGATCCTGGCTCAAGTTCTTTTTTCTTGCCATTTGATCAAAAGCCTGGTCTTCACAAAAGACCTATTATTTTACAATAGCATGGACACAACCACATCGTATTGATCAGTCTCAAGCCAAATAAGTCAGTACAAATGCCACCATTAAATCCGCAATATATGCCAGTTTGTCATAGGTTGGGTTTTTCTGATGGTTGGCTTAGTCTCTTTCGTAGTTCTTTAGTGTAATATTTAGGTGCATATATATAATGTTTGTGTGACCAATTTATGATATGTTTGCAAAGTGAATATACTAATATAATTGCTTATTGAAGAAAATTGTAATAGTATCAACGTAAGTATCATACTAACAAGTCATTTGTGTATTATTACGTGTGAAATTTTATGTCAGTATAACAATTGCGAATTTTGAAATAATTAGGAACAAATTATTAAGAAATTGAGATTAATTTTAGTTTTTTTGATAGTTTGTATATTTCAGTATAATTTTAATAAAAGAGAATATTGGTTTAATGTGACCAATTATTTTATTTTAATTTTATAGAAGTTGTTAAATCAAATTATGAACATGTTAATTTAGATGTAGAATTAATAATCGTTAAAGTAAAGCCGCCTTTCTGATAATTTGTCATCAATAATTAGTATAATGTAAAGTCGCCTTCCTGATAATTTGTCATCAATACTTAGTATACTGGTTTATATTAATAATTCCAAAAGTGCTCCGAATAATTCTGCATTGTTGCGAATCAAATTACAGATCTGATGTAATGCGAAATCAAAAACTTTAAAACAATTAAAACGCACAAAATTCTAAGTAGCAATGAATAAGCTATATACTATATCAAAAATTCTGTAAGAAAATTTTTTATTAGAATGCAAAAGTTGATTTCATAGACAAAATTAGAATTACTAGCATTTTTTGAAAAACTTCTATTTTGTCTTTGAATATCATGTTACTTCTGATTTTACAATTTGATTGGTTGCACAGAATTTTTGTTATGTTCATAAATCATGTGATCAGTGAATTTCTGTTTAATGATTATCTAACTATTATACATTGTACAAAAAATATACAATTTTATTGGCTATAAAAATTTGATGTACATAATTTGATGTACAAAAAAAATTGCCGAAAAATTTAATGTACCCTGTAGGGTATATTTATGTTAATTCTATTATTTATATAATTTTAGTATAAAATTAATAAATAAACAAGGGTGCTTTTAGGCATCTCTGGCCAGAGATGCCTAGTTTATTCATCTCTGGCCTGATAGCTAATCAAAATGCAAATATATCACGTGATGCACATTTTTGTGTAGCATAATAGTTACACAAAGTACAATTCTCCCGGATCAGTCCAACGAAGCAAAACAACAAAAAAAAGCGAAAAAAAATAAAAAAAGTGGAAAATACAAAAAACAGCTATCTAAACCTATGTTGGGGCACTAAGTAAAAATGTCGAG